TTTTAATTAAATAAAATCACGTAATTTAAGTTTTGGAGTCCAATTATTTTTTAAAGTCGAGATTGATATGTACTTTTCTAATTAAAATTCAATTTAATATTTAAAAAATTATTTTATTAGATATTAATATTTAGATTTATAATCTGATTATATTAAAATATATAATGAGTTTTCAAATTTAAATATTTAATAAAATAAAATTTTAATGACCTTAAAAATCATTAATTTAGATCTAAGTTTTTAACTAATTGATATATTCCTTTGAGACTTAAAATTGTTCAAATTTAAAGACACATTAACTAAATGGAGGTTTGCTCTTAAAATTGTTCTCTCTCTTTTTATGAATGACAATCCATTAATAATATAGGAAGTTGGCTTATAGAGCCTACCAATAAATGGCTCATAAGCAAGTAAAACTCCATGGCACAAACTCTTTGAGTCTGTTTGGTGTGGTTGGAGTTTTTAATAAAAGTTCTGGTAAAGAGAATTTGTTGTGGCAGTGCTGTTTTTGAGAAGTTAAAAGTGTTTGGTAAAATTTTTTGTAAAAATACTTGCAGAGTAAAAAATTATTTGGTAAATTTTTTTATAAAAGGTTTTTTAATATTAAAATAATTGAAATAGACATTATTTAATTTTTATTACTTTCACTTCATTTTTTTATATTTTTATGTGACTTTAAATTTATAATTAATTTAAAGTGGATAATTAAAAATTAATTATTCAAATTTAAAGTAAAACTCTACAGTACAGGAAACAGCGAAGTAAAACTCTAAAGAACGAGTACTTAAATAAAATAACATTGATAGTGCACAAATAAGGAGGATTGAATGGGTTCATTACTTAGAGATCTCTAAGGCCTTGTTTGGATAGAAAATAGTAAAGGGTAGGGAAGGGAGGGGGATGGTGGAAAATAAAAGGAAATGGAGGGGGAGGGGAGGAAAAGAAAGGAAAGGAAAGAAAATGAAAAGAAATGATTTGTGTTAATTTTGTTTGGATAAATAAAAATGAGGAAGAGGAAGGGAAGGGAAGGATTGTATTATTTTATGTTTGGATAAATAAGATAAAAGGAAGGGAAGGAAGGAAAGGATTTAAATTAATTTTAAATTTACAAATTTACCTTTTAAGCTTGCCTATTCATTTTTAGTTATTGTCAATTTATTCAATTCATTAAATCATTCCATTATCCACCGAAACCAAACACAAAAGAAACTCAGTAACTTACCATATGTTTTTTTTTTTGGGTCATAATATGACTTTGGATTAAAAAATTGATAAATGCAAATTAGAGGAAAAAAATTATTGATTAAAAAAACATAAAATTAAAA